GTGTGTGTGTGTGTGTGTGTGTGTGTGTGTGTGTGTGTGTGTGTGTGTGTGTGTGTGTGAGGCTTTACAAAGGTTCCATACTTATTCTTCTGTCCCCGTTGAGGTTTGACCTTTGGCATCCCATCCCAGGCCTACAAGCCCATCCCTCCTCTGATGAACAGTGTGGGCAGCCAGGCAGCAGGCTGCGGCCAGTGCTCCGCCAGGACAGGGCTATTTTGGGACAGGGAGGATCCCAGGAGGATGCTGGTGAGGTTGGCATAGGAAAGGAAGGAGGCAGGTTTTCTGCCTCTGACTGTATGTCCCCAGCCCTCTGGATGCCACCCAGGGGCTCAGGACTGCCACAATGAAGAGCACGCCTACCACAGAACTCTGTATTCAGCTTCGCTTGGCCACAAAGGAAAAGGGACAGGCGTGGATTTGAGGCCATGGGCTCTCATTCCAAAGGCCACAGTGGACAGGGAATGTGTGTTAACTTGCTGTGTCCCAATGGTGGTGATCCCAGCACCACACACAACTTTGGGGGAGGGAGAATAAAGCATCGGAAACCCGTTGGATGGCAGATGGAGGCTTCCAGAAAGAATCCAAACATCAGGAATGATTAGTGAGTTCACACTTATTGAACAACTACTATATATCAGGACAACAGGGTTGGCAAGACAATAGTGAATGTCGCTTAGCATTTGTGTGATGCACTGCGTGATAGCATGAGTTCTGTAAGCCCAGAACCATGGAGTAGTTTGCAAACTCTGATCCTAAGAGAGTAATCAGAATGTACCGTGCAGTGTGCTCTGGCAGGGATGTTTTATGGACACATTTGAGGGCTTCCAAACCTTTGGAATCCCCTACCTCTTTCTTGGGTTTTCAGGGAGGCTGGCCCGTGACGGAGCACACAGTAGTTGTTCATGGATGGCCTGTGACAGAAATTGCTCTTACGTGGAATGGGTCAGTTTTTGTGTTACCAAAGCTCCTGGTTGGCCAGAGGGAGGCAGTCCAGCAAGCATTGGGCAGGACTCAGTTTACCCTAGGAAATACATTTTGCTAAGAGGTCCTGTGGTGTAAGATGCCTTCCTTACAGCTTTTCTATCCCACAGCCCAGCTTTCCAAATAGCCAGGAACCTCTGCTGGATTCTGCTTCCATTCGGGGTCTTTCTGTGGCTCTGGTCTATCTGTTGGGTCAAGTTGCCAACTGGGAAATTCTCAGTCTCCAGAGTCTCTATCCTTTCTCTCTCTCCTACTGTGCAAGCTCAGCCCAGTCCTACTGCTGTCTGCTCCCCACAGAGGGGCCTGCTCCAAGGCCTGCCTTCTCTCCCAACATATCCCTGCGCTCTACCAGCCTCTGCCTTCCACGCCATCCAAGACCCCTGAGTCCTATTGTGGCTTCCCTTCAAATCCTCCTTCCCTCCTGTCATCTGCCTCTCCAGCTCCACTTCCTGTGAGTACCTGAGCCAGACATTCTGAAGCACAAACCTGAGCCTGGTTGGCCAGGTACCCACTGTGATGGTAGGTAGCCAGGATATCCATGGGCCACCAGCCAGCTGTGGTTCTTTCCCCAATCAGACAGGGGAAGAAGGGCAAGCCTATGGCTGGCTCTGAATATGCAGTCCCATTGTCCTGAACACCAGGAGGTGGGGGTCTGAGGAAAGGAATTCTGTACAACTTTGACATCCCAGTGGCAATTGAGGAAATACTAGTAATAATAGCGCATAATACAGACAAGGCACAGTACCAATAATTCAAGTCATCTGGGGCCATAACCCTGGATGTCAACAATGTATTGACAAGGTGGCTATTATCCTTGTTTCCCAGACAAGGCACAGAGAGGTTCAGAAACTTTCTGATGGCCACACAGTTCATACATATCAGAGGTGGAATTCAAATCTACACCTTCATGGCTCCAAACCTCCTGTCCTGAAGCAACATTTTATCCTTTGAGCAAAGACCAGTTGCAATTGCCAAGAGTTATGGGAACAACCGACATGCTGATTTGAAACCTGGGCAGCCCGGATGCATAGAAACATTCTGTCACCTTACTCTGGTCTCTACCTCATCTCATTAATCTTGGCATCTCATTAATCTAGCAGAAAGCTTTCCCAGACATCAGGGTCTAATCTCCTGGGCCCACAGAGAAGGGGGAGCTTCCCAGGGCTTCTGGACACTCGTTCAATTAACCTGGATGACCTACTTGTGACAGGGCCAGCTGAATCTCTTCACAGCTGCATGTCAGCAGGGCCAGGGTGCCTGAACTGCACCACGCCAGCCAGCTCACACCCCACCAACGAAGCCTTCTAGTTCCCATATGCTTAACATCTGTCAGCCCCTCTTTTCTGGCTTGGGGAACTGGTGTGAAGTTTCCGGGGCCCTCAGCTCCTGTGGATGGAGGAAGACCTGCTAAACAGCCCACTGAATGCCATTCCAAGATCATCCACCCCCAGAGGGTGTCAAGAGGCCATATTGTGGGTCTCTCATATTCTAAGACCCTGAGAAAGGCAAACCTCTTTGCAATTAGGTAAGCATGTTACTTGTCTCCTCAACCTTTGTTAGTGCTTCATTCCCTAACTCCCCCTCTCTAAAAAAAAAGGCCCCGATAGGCCTTTAATCTTCAGGGCCTAGTTACTCAAGAAAGCAATGCAGCAAGTAAACAGACAAGCAAGCCTGTCATTCTCACAGCTTTTAACAAACCCAGGAACCAGGAAGTCCTGAGCCATTAGTACCAATGATGTTAGCTGTAGACTTGAACCTAGCATAGAGCAGATACTCTGCACACAACCTTAAATGCATGAAAAGCCACAGCTGTGGAGCAGAAGATGAGACAGCGGGCACTAAGGACATGCCCACTGAGGGATCTGCCCCTATAAGCCTAGTAAATGGCAAAAGCAGAATTCGAATCCACTTCAGATCAGGTACATTTGTTACAGCACATTACCTGGCCACCATCAGTAATGGCTTGATCCCTTGTGTGAGGGCATGTGTATGTGTGCAGGTAGCCCAGACACCACACAACAAACGTATTACTCTAAGGCATCTAGCTAACCAGAGTGAATAAAGTCTTAGAAATATTCATTCATCCAGATAACATTTTTGCACGTGGGCCAGGGGCTGGAGGTACAAAAGTGAGCACAGTGAATTGGGTCCCTACTTTTGTAGTGCATAATAGGCTGTGATTTTCAAACTATGGCCACATCCATCAAATTATCTGGTTTCACTATCCCACGAGTTAAAGAGTGCCAGGCCCAAGGAAAAGTTTGTAAATGAATAGATGGATGAACACGTACTTGAATGAATTTGTGATATCTGGATGGCTAGGGATGGATGGATAGACAGATGGATGGACAATGGATGACTGGATGCATGGGGACAGGTGGGCCTATCAGTAAATGTTGGAAAGCAGCCACTACCAGATACAGATATTTTCATCTTTCAAGTGAGAATCAGGTCCCCTGTAGGGCACAGACACCACAGGGAAGGACCTATGGTTGCAGTACTTGTCCTAGAGATGCCAACCTCATCCATCCATGGCCTCCTTACCTGGTGGGCAGTTACATCCTGGAGACATCTTCGGGGCTTCCCTGCGTCTGCGTGAGTGGAGCTTCCATTTCTGCACAAAGAGACAGACAAGCGGAGTCACTATGTGGGAGCTTGTAAACACTGAGAAACACTAGAAAGCATGTGTGGGCTGGTGGAGAAGGAGGGGAGAGGGGATGGGGGGCCACATGGGGTTATCAGGGGGACAGCTCCTGGATCAAAGACTGGCAGTTAATGGCCCTCCATTGGCCACCAGGCGTCTGGCTAGTAAGAAGCAGAGCAGACCTAGCATGGCAATTTCAGCATGTGATGTCTTCGAGGAGCTCTTAAAGAAAGCACGGGGCCCTGTAAACCAGTGGCCACCTCCTGTACCCCATTCTCAGGCACACAGCCACATGCTCTGCTCAGCAGTCTGCTAATTATTTTCCTTCTTGGATGGGGAGTCCTGGGGCAAGGATAGAGCCTTCTGTTCTAGTGTCCTTCACCTGCTTGGGCAGGTAGGCAGGGGCAAAGGCAGGAAGGCTGGGAGGTTCTAGCATCTTCCTCCACAGCTCAAGCCACTGAGCAAACCTTGGAGATCGCGAGGAGGTAGGATACCCCCCAGGAGCTGCCACGTGGTTGGTGGCCAGGGGACAGGCCCATGCAGCGTGGCCATGCATGGGATGTGCACACATCTGTGAGCCTGCAGGCCTGACATAGGATCCTTTCATGGTGACCCTTGCTACAAAGTGGCTCACTAGCACAGTGGACAGGGGCACCTCTGCAGCCAGATCGCCCCAAGTTCATAGGTGGTGCTCAGACCCTGGCTGATCTCCCTGGTGGCTGAGAGGGCCAGGAAGGTTGATATACATCAAGGATATGACTGAACACCTAGGAGGCCTTAGAGAACATCAACTGCTATTGAACTGTGGTACGGGTGAGGACCCCACAGCACCCAGGGGAGATGGCTGACCAACCAAGAAGAGAATGCACCACATTCTCTGACTCCAATGAAGAGTTAGAGGCCAGTAGTCCCTTCATTTAATTTCCTGAGTTCTTTTTAAAGTTATGGTTGAGTGGCTTGCAGGCTGTAGAAGCTAGGGATGGCATATCAGCAAGTCCCCAGTCCTCTTGCCTGATCCGTTTCCTCTTTCAGAGCCAGCGTATGCTTTTCTTCAAGGTCCCTGGTAAGTATTTTAGGCCCTGTGTGTTCCACAGCCCCTGCCACAGCGACACAGCGGTTCTGTGGTAGGCGAAAGCAGCCACAGATGATTCAGAGACAAATCAGTGTGGCCACGGACCCATAAAAAGGGGGTTTGCAAAACAGGCTCCAAAGGGCTGAGCTGCGGTTTGACCATCCTAGTGCAATCACTGTGCAAATGTGCCATTCTTCCTACCAGGAGAAAGAAAATAGCTTCTCTCTGAGGGTGGTGCTCTTTCTAGACAAACTCCTGGATGCCAGCCTTCCCTCTGTCCCTCCTCTCCTCTCCCCTCCTCTTCTTCCTTCCTACCCCACAGAAGGCTCTCCTTCAGGGACCAGCATCCTCTATGTTGTTAAATCTGGTGGCCAGTCCTTGTCCTTCTTGGCCTGTGGTATCCTTTGCTGGATTCTCCTCAGTGAACATCACATACTTGGCTCCCAGGACACTGCACTCTTTTCTTTCACCTCTCAAGGCCCTGGCTGTTCCCTTTTGGTTCCTTTCTGGATCTTTGGATGCTAAGATGCTGTGAGTCACAGGCCTCTGCTCTCCCCTCTAGACCCAGACTTCACCTGGTTCTGTGGCTTCTAAACCATCTCCACTGTTACACCTCCAGCCTGGAGATCACCATGCAGCTTTAGCACAAACTGCCAGCTGTGTGCCTGTCTGAGCTTCTAGCCCATGCCCAGGTGACATAACTGTAACTTTCGGTTACTTAAAACCTGAATTGCTGGCACCTGTGGCTCATGCCTAGGAGCCTGACTAGGAGGCTGAGCTCTGAGGATCAGGGTTCCAAGCCAGCCTGGGCAGAAAAGTCCAATGAAACTCTCTAGTTACACACACACACACACACACACACACACACACAAAGCTGAAGTGGAGTTATGGCCCAAGTGGTAAAATGTCAACCTTGGGCAAAAATGCTAAGCAGGAGCTTGAAACCCTGAGTTTGAGTCTTAGAACTGGCAGGAAACAAAACACTGATCCAATGATTCCCATACCTTCCAGTGCACACCCCCTTCCCCTCCTACCCTTACCGCTGCTGCCATCCTCAGCCAGGGCGGCCACTCCAGTCTGTCACCCCGTGTCAGCCTGCACTCATGGTCTGTCTGCCTGGGTTGCTCTTTTCCTAACTGTCCACCTGCGAGCTTCAGATGAGCCATCCTAACTCCAGACTTCCCATACCCTCCCCAGTTCATTTTTTTGGGGGGGTCCGGTCGTGGGGCCTGAACTCTGGGCCTGGGCGCTGTCCCTCAGCTCTTCAGCTCAAGGCTAGCGCTCTACCACCTTTGAGCCACAGCACCACTTCCGGCTTTTTTCTTTTTGCTTATGTGGTGCTGAGGAATCGAACCCAGGGCCTCAGGCATGCAAGGCAAGCGCTCTACCACTGAGCCACCTTCCCAGCCCCTCCAATTCAATTTTTTTTCTTGTTTATCTCACTTGTTGCCTCCCTCAATCATCCAAAGGGAAACTCCACAAGAACACAGATACTGTGCTGTTACGCACTGCTCTCTCCCCGCTGTTTAGGACAGGGCCTGCCATGTGGTAGGTGTGCGATACAAGGCAGGAAAGGTCAGAGTCAGCGTCACCTCCTCCAGACAACAGCTCAGCCCCTGTGGGCATCCGAGACTGAGGCTGAGCTGGGGTTGGGTGGTCTTAGGCTGGATCCCACCACACCCGGTAGAGAAGGTTTCCTGTTCTCCGCTGGCATCCAGGGCCTTCTGGAATGGCCAGAACTGAAACATCACCCAGATAGGTTCGCAGCTTAAAATGCCTGTCCCAGTATCAAAGAGAAAATGCCAGTGGTGGCCATTTCTCCCACAGAGAATTCAGCTCCAGCCTGGCCCAGGATTTAGGGGTCACTCCCTCCCCATCCCAGCTTCAGAGTTTTTAAAGGGGCTCAGCTGCCCCGTTATGCCTGGGTTATCCATGGACTGAGTCCAAGTCATGTGAGAAGCCTGCAAAATAGGGTTATGCCCGCTGCCTACCTCTAAGTACTACTGTGGAGATGGAGTAAGTTCAACAGTGGCAGGGCCGGGGAAATGCTGGAATATTAAAATGATCATCAGTGATGTGCTTATACACAGAGCGCACACTAGACGAGGCACTGTGCTAAGCACTTTAGGGAAAAAATCATTTAATCATAATATTTATTATTATTTAATTTTTTGATGGCACACAGACCTACCTAATGAACTCAGGTCCTCATGATTGCTAGGCAGGTGCTCTACCACTTGAGCCATGTCTTCAGTCCTTTTTGCTCTGGTGAGCTGTTTGAAATAGGTTCTCACTTTTTGCCCCGAGCCAGCCTGGATCTCAATCCTCCTATTTATACTTCCTGACATAACTAGAATGATAATTTCATATTGCCATGCTCAGCTCTTATTGGCTGAGAAGCGGATGGAGGTGGGGCTCTCACAACCTTTTAGCCCAGGCTGGTCTAGAACTGTAATCCACCTAATCTCTGCCTCCTGAGTAGCTAGGATTTCACATATGATCTCGGAATGCCTGGCTATTAATTTTTGGTATGATCCCTACTAGAACTCAGAGGCCCTGGGGACTGAATTGGGGCACAGATGCCCTCTGCCCTCAAGCTGACGTGGCGTGCATCGCTGCTGGACTTGGTGGTGAGGTAGAAGCCTGAGCTAACATGGCAGGGTTCAGCCTTGTGGTCTCATCCCAACATCCCTCCTTTGTGTGAAGCAAGAGGCAGGATGCCTCAGTACCTCCATGTCCTCATTCCCACAAGATGGGAATGACGTTTCCTAGACTGCGCAGGAAGGAGGAAGAACTTCAACAGAGACTCTGGCCACCCGCTTGGCTGCCGTGGTATCCTCCGTGGCCTGGTGTAAACCACTGCTGTTCCTGAGCTGCCACTGAGACACAGGCAGGGTCCCTGGGGGCATCGGGTGCCCCACCACAGGGAAGGGGGCAAGTGTCCTCTTCTTTCTACCCTTCCCACTCCTGAGAAACCTAGCTCCTCGCTACTTCCCCAAGATGGAGGGGGCAAGCAAGGGTCCCAGCTGAAGCCAGGCCTTATGCCTCCAAGGTCCAGAAGCTGCAAGAGAAGGAGGTGCCCATGGACATGACCACATCACAGCAGGTCTCCAAGCCTGTGCTCTCGCACACGTGCCTGACCTGGAACAGCTTGATGCCTTCTGCAGAGCCCTTTTCTCGGTGTACGTGTTTCTGGGCTGGAGACCAGGCCAGGTGTGGAAGGTGTAGTCTGGAACTGGGGTCTCTGGTTCACATGAGAACCCAAGCCATTTACATTTAGGTCTACCTTCTAGGCTTGGTCCCAGGACAATTGGAGTTTGGGGTCAGGCGGAGGCAGAAGTGGGTGGGCTATAGATGGAGAGAGGGTCTTCTGGTAAGGAAAGAAAGCTCAGAGGCAAGTCCATGCTACTTAGTGCTGCTGGCCAAACCCAGGGACCACCCAAGAGGGCTGGGCCCACAGGAGGCGTTTCTTAAAGCAACATACCCATGAGCTGCCACCCGCTACACCCGCCTCAGGGCGCAGACAGCTCAGTGGGGTGAAATCAAACCGGAGGAAATTCAGACATTCAGTCCACACCCACCCAGACTGGACTACAGGCTGCTTGGGGGCCTGAACACTGGGGGCTGGGACGGAGCCATGGAAAGCCCAGGGAGCTGTCTTCCTTCTCCTTCCACAGCTCTCTTTGTGCAATAGACTTGGCGCCTGATCACAGACTCTCAGGGCCCTGAAATAGAGGCCTGAGGGTGCACCGGATACTATGTGCTACCTCGGCCTCCCTGCTTCTTCAGAACCTTGGACAGATGTGGCCCAAGCTCTACCATTCAGAAAGGGCGGGGAAAGGAGGCACATGCCTCTGTGAGCACCCCAGCTTTTGTCTGAGGAAGTCCTTCCTTCCAG